CCTCGCGAAGTTGCGATCCTCTCTCCGTGCGCGGTCACGCAGGCAAATAAACGATCGTAGCCGACGGCTGGCGACACTCACCCTCGTTAAGCCGACATCGACTTAGCTACCGAACGTTGATAAAACCGCTGCCTCCTCCTTCCTTCCGTAATGTAGGAACGTTCGCCTCGACGACGACGACGACGACGACGACATTCGTTGTGACGGCAACTGTAGCCACGACCGAATTTCGAAAGTATCGACTGGCGTACGTACGCACTGTAAGATTTTATGAATCTACTTGTCGGCAATTTCGCCTTCTCGGCGTTCGTTGGAACCGTTGCCGCCGCCGCTGTCGCGCGCGCCACGCACACGCACACGCGTATGCGCCCCCACACGTACGAGAGGCACAGGCGCGCGGTACGATCACATCGGAAATCGGAGCTTCGAAGCAAAGTAACAACTAATCGAGTCGACGGCAACCGTTATTTCGTAAATTGATTGTCGCGCGACGCACGAAGCTGCACAAACGCAACGCTTCTTCTACCCTTGACATTTCAAATTTTATAACCCTCTAGGTCTCCCCACTCGAACGACTCTTCTTCTCGCCCAGCTCCGCCGCTCTCGCTTTCTTCGCTCTCGTATGACGAGCAATTGCGTTTGCAGCACTATGTCCCCAACGATTTTATTCTCCTAGATTAAACAGCAAGTATAACATTCAAAATGTGTCTAATGTCTGAATATTTATTATGACGCGAAGGTGAATTTGGCGTTAAAAAATACTGCAACCAGAACTGCACCCGAGCACAATTTACATTGATTTACTCGGATTATGACGGTCAGGATGCAGCTATTTATTATAACTCATAATTTGAATTTCTCAAATTTTTAAAAATATTCACGGCAAATACATCATTGCCGTCATCTGCATTCAATTTGATTGGACATAAAAGTTTTTTATTTTATCTTAATTTATCATATCGCGTAGTTAAGCGACTATAGTTTTAATAGCTCGATAAAAAACTGAAATTGTCTATACTGAAACGTACTTATTATTTTTCTCGTTTCTCAGAGTTTATGTGAATTTCATGTTTTTACTCAAAAGTTCGAAAAATTAAAATTAAAATACAAACTAATTCATTCATTTGATTTTATGTTATTCGTTATAATTGTACGAAAATTTAACGAAGCTTAATCATCAGTCCCGTTATATTGGATTGAAGAGATAAAAAAAACCATTTTACATGCTTGCACTCGGTTTATTTATCGAATGCTATTGAATTAATTTATGAAATTTGTTTTTTTTTTACTTTGACTTTAATACAAAATAATAATACAGTTCAAAAGGAGACATATCCAGTTTCCAATCTATATAACGTCACAATCAGTGATTAAACAAGCCGCACTTGCATATGAATACCACAATTTCGTCCGACCATAACCTCTTTATTCAGCTAGTGGTAAAAACTTAAACGTGTAAGATTATTAGAAAGAAATTAGTTTATAAAAGGTAGAGGAATTATGATGGAGGCTATGAAACAAAAAGTAACGGAAATGTTAAAGGGCATTGAAAGGTGATTATTTAATTGGCCATAGGCGCATAATATATCAATAAAAAATATAACTCATGCTTGTAAAAGTATCTTTTGGATAAAATTTGTTTTGATTTATTTACTATTGAAATTATATATGGTACATGTTTGTATGTTTTTCAGATATAATCCAGATAATCTTATAACCTTGAGAAAGTACGTTGAAGTCCAAGTAAATGAAAATGCATACGATCTTGATGCAAATTTAGCTGTATTAAAATTGTACCAAATGAACCCTCATGCTTTTGATGAAGAAGTCACTTGCCAAATACTGCTAAAGGCACTGACTAATTTACCGCACACAGACTTTGTTCTTTGTAAATGCCTTTTAAATCAGAAAATTGTAAGTGATAACTCTAATAATATCTCTAATATTTATATGACTTTGAACGATTCAAAATATAAATTATCGTCAGAGAAATCAATCGTTGATTATTTGATTCAATAATTTTACTTTAATAAACATTTTATATTAAATAAGCTTCTCATAGAAATTAATTTATTTAAAAGATGGAACTGCCTGAAATTGCAAATATTCTGGATCTAGCTAATATATTAGAAGAGTGTCAATTTCAATTGGCTTGGAATCAAATTGCAAAGATGCACGATCAATGCAGTAAAATTGTTGGATTTAATGATTCCATTAGGAAATTTGTTTGTCATGTCGTGGGAATTACATTCCAAACAATACATAAGTCAGTTCTGGTTGAATTATTAGGTGGAACATCTCATATTAATGGTAAGTTAATAAAATTAATAATTGATAATTAATTTTTGTGCAAATTGTCAGAATGAGATAGTAACAATTAGATTTTACAGATGCTACATTGAAACTGTGGGTAAAAAAGTATGGCTGGGTAGAAGAAAATGACAATATCATCTTTATTGCAAATCAAGATGAGAATATTAAAACAAAAAATATAACAGAAAAAATTGATTTTGAAAATGTTGCCGGACTGATGGCAGCATGCTTATAATTGAATTATTTAAGAAGGACTTGAAATTTTAATTCACCCAGATTTTTAATTAAAAATCTTAAAAAAACATTTTGCTTCGTGCAATTGGACAATATTTAATTTATCGATCGTTGTTAAAACAATTAAAATTGTTAATCATATTGAAGAAAATAATGGCTTCATTAATGGTATATATTTTTTTTTAAATTTTAAAACACATTTGTTTAACAATAAATTTCTTTAGTATATTATCTGGTAAATAATTTAATTAATTATTTTTTACATTTCCATCTATGAAAACGTCATATTTATTTATAAATTCGTTCATTACATGAATAAAAATTCATTACAATATATGATAGAATTATAATGAATTCTTTAATCTTATAAATATGGAATATATTTACTCAAATCACTCGAATAAATTCATACACTAAATACATACACAAGTATAAAATTATTGATCGTATTATTTCTTAACAATAGAATTATTAAGAATTAAATAAAAATTTGGTTCTTCATGGTATAATAAAAGCAATAATTTTATATAATTATTTATTTAAATTTCCTATCGCTAAAAATCTGCTTAGACATAGAATGTTTCCAATCAAATTTTTTTGTATTCGGAAATATTAAAAAATTAATATTAAAACATTAATAATTACAAGTATTACAATACTAATTCTCACTTTTTATTTTTTTTTTTTATTTTTATTTATCATTTTGTGTTTTTTAATAAAATTAATGTATTCAGAGATTGTGTATTGCAATAATTCTCAATTTTGTACATCAACCGAAACACTTGTAGAAGTTTGTATACACTTACAGACTATATTACATAAAAATGTGTAATGTTTTAGCAAAAACTGCATAATATATACTAATTGAAAAACCAAATAAAAGACAAAATATAATGTAAAGTTTAGATGGTATGAATGTATGTACACAATTCTTATATATTATGATTTGATTTTTAATTGTATTTTTATATAATGCAATCGTAGTCTACAATAATTTTTTTTCTCTTTTTTTTTTACGACAATAGATTTCAATTAGGTATTAATATATTCAATCACATTTTATCTTACAATATTATGAGTAAAGTCTCAAATTAACCTTTGACCAGAATAATAGTCAGCAATTATAAATTCTTTGATATTCAGTTTTATATCTACTATAGGAAGATCCATTGAAAATAAAATCTTTTATAAAAAATAACTACAATTATCATAAATAATATAAACTTTACAAAAACGATTATTAATACTGAGCCATTTACCAATACATATTAAATAAATTATTTATGGAGGGTGATCTACAAGATTTGATCTACAAGTTGATTGGTAGTTGATCACTGCATAAGATAAATTAGAAAGTGGTGATTACTTTCTGGTTTACTAAGTACAAACTATTATTGCACCGACCTTTCTTATTTATAGATATAAAAAAAATAGACTGTGGATAGGCCTTGCCCAGAACATAATAAATAATAAAAGTATTATGTCTTTCTCTGATTTAGGTAATATACCGCTATTGGCAAGTGAAATCAGAATAATTTTGTATTCTATAATTTTCATAATAGGAATTATATTTCTCAAAATCAATGCACAGTCTATGCTTCTTATATCTCTCATCGCATTTCATCCTTAGCACTTATGATTAATCATGCTTATAGCAAAAATAAGAATGGCAGATTTTAAATATTATATATGCCATGTGAACATTTGACATTACCTTTGGTAGAAATGTAAAAAAAAATAGTGGCATAGAGATTTTATATGGATTAAAAATTGATTTATGTTTACCAAAAAAGAATATATCTTTGTAATTTATGTTATTTTTACAAAAGTAAAATATACTTTTCTGAGACAAGTTATAATCTTTTTACATTTTGTATATCAAAAGGATATATATATATATATATATATATATATATATGCATATATCCAATACGTAAGTATATATAAATATAAATGTGTACAATATACCACTTAATTTTTTAACTTTTTTATAATATAATACTAAAGGGAAACATCTATGAATACGTAATTGAACATAGTTTTTTCATAATAATTATACAACATTGTATAATATTTTCCAAATTTATCATGAAAATATCTAAGTATTGTATATTAAGAAGTAAAAGATACTTTAATTATTGAAGATATTTAGTTCTTTAAATTATTATTGTTAATATAAAAAATAAACCTGGCAACTGAAGATGTTAAGAATTGTAAATGTAATGAATTAGTTCATAAATGCTTAGACCATGACAATTATAAGTATAAAAAATTATTCAATGATATTTCCCCTTCATTGTTATAAAGTAATATTAAACTTGATGATCTATTAAGTGAACATCTCGCCTGTATGAATATCTAGGTGCATTGTGGCAAGGTAGTAGCCAGAATACAGGATGACTCTTGCCGCATACTTGAGCGAGTAAAGTAAAAGCATGTCTATTTTTGTGGTGACTGTGAGTTCCTTGTATGCGTTCAATTGCAGTTTCGTCGTCGAAAATTGCTTGAAATTGATAAATCATAATCGCAATGACAAATATTCCAAACAACGTTGATTCCAAAACTAATATTACACAGTGTAAGCTGAAATAAGAAATATAATGTTCCAATGCTATTACTGATGAAAACAATTACAATTTAACGATAACCAATGCCATAATGACACTGTATAAAATAAATGTACTCTCAAAACACAATTAATATCTAATTTTTGAAAGTTTCTATTTTAAACTAATATCATGATGTAAGTACATAATTTATCATTAAATTTCTGTTTAATAAGTAATGGATAGTACATCTATTATATATGCTTACATGCGACTTTGTTTTATTGCAATGTCGTTGCTGCACTGTGGGCATTCAAACATCCAGGACATAATTACTAAAATTATCGCATATAAAGCTAATGTGCCGACGTATACCAAAAATTGTATGAAATACTTTTGATTCCTTTCACCGACGCAATTGTTGATCCTAAAAGTGTATCATAACATAAAATACCGCTGTACCTAACAAAATTGATCAATAGTATTTCTACCATGGACAGTGGTGATCCATTCGTCTGATACACCTCTTGCAAATCCTACAATGGTGAGCTCTGGGTGGCCTATAAGTTTCGCATCTAGTACAGACGGTCCAATCGTTCCTATCGTCGCTATCGTTACAACTAGAACTCCCACTATGAATGTCCGAGAAATCCATTCTGGTTTGAGGTAAAGGTACGACCCCGGGATCGCTGCATACCGCTTTCAAGTGCGATATCATTAAAAGTAACACAACGGTGTTAAAGGCAATGACATGAAACGGACCCCAAAGGCTAAAACAATAAATAATCAAAGTCCAAACATTAGCCAGGCACATGCATACAAGGTCAAATTCACAGTTATGTAATACAGTTAGCTTTAACTTAACCTATGCACAGTTCAACGGTCTAGGCACAGCTACAAACCATAATGTATAAGAAGAAGATCAAACAAACGACTTTGTCCGGCGATTTGACACTTCCATAGAATTTGCGAGTAATATGAAGCAATGTGAAGCAATATGAACCAATGCCCGAGAAGGAATGGCAATAAATTATGATGATAAATGAGCATTATTAGGGAAGAAGTTGATTAAAATAGAATCGATAGCATCAGTAAGAAGTAAATAAAGCAGAGCCGAGCAACGAATAATACTCGCTGATATTATTACATCGAATGATGATGTCATTGCACAAGACAAATCATCGTTCGTTCTATGTAATACCGCACTAATTCTTCGGCCCTCTTCTGCTACATAAGTTCGAGCTGTCAAACACGAGCTCCGACGTAATCCGTTTAACGCATTTACGAAGCCACAATTAAGGTCAATAGATGAGAAAAGGCAACAAACCTGTTCTGCATAGTGTGCAGTATGATCCACTGCACAACGACATAGTCTGCGTAGAAGACGGCGACGTAGGTCACAATAATGCAGACTATACCGCAGGGATCCCTCACGAACATTGTTTATCTTCCTGGCAATTGCATCATGCACCGCGCGCAGAGAGGACATCGGCTTCGAGGACGAGGACGAGGCAATCGCAGTGTGTCTGACGCCGTCTGACACCGCCCGTAAGGTTATCGGGGGAAACCCGTGGGGCGAGAGGGACGGGTGGGGACGGGCGGTAGGGGACGAGAGACGGAGTCGCGCTATCCTTCACTTCCCGGCTCGTCGTCGGCCCGGCGACTCGGGCGATCCTTTCACCGTTGCGCGATCCAACCTTCTCACGTCATTTCGCGCGAGCCGCCGATCCCGCTGGAGGCGTGCGCGACCGCGCACGGGCTACAGCGCTTAAGCGAGTCGACGCGGAGGATCACTCGTACGCGAGCAGACCTCGACAACAGCCCCGGACCGCGCATACTCGATGATCTTGAGAGCCCCGGAGTCTAATGGGAGGGGGATTAGCAGTAAAATACGGCGGTGGGCGCACGATGCCGTGACGTTGCCGTACGAGCGACGCGAATCGTAGATGAGATTTAAAATTAGTGCAGCCGATGATTTTGTTTATGGGATGCAATTGGCGCGCTGAAAGGCCGCCCGCCTTCGCATTCTCGCTCGGTGAAGGATGATTTGCAGTCGTTTTTGCATGACCGCTTTCTCACAAGCCATTGTCTAACCGTATTTTAAAGTTTTATTATACATTATTATTTCGTTTCCCGGACCTTGTCAGGATACACGCACGTGGGTTTAATTTAGCAAGATCGAAATATGAATCGATGGACAATTTCTTATAGTATTTATCATATTTATTAAATATGATCAAAAATGCGTCCTTACCCGTTGATGATAATTTTTAGAATACTCGACTTGATTGGCCAAGCGTTATGCCATATCGTTATACTACATCGACTTCCCACACAATCAATCAATCGCTCCACATCGTCAAGTAATTCTGTATTTGTGTGAAAAGCCACAATGCGTAATGGAAAATTAGTTCTGCTAGACTTGATAAACACGAAATTTATCACGCATAGCTGTCCAATAATTTTAAGATTAAAATTCTTAAAAATCAAAGTTCCAAAATTCATAAAGTGCAATAGAATGTGTTGATATATGGTGAAAGTTAGTTTACCATAATGTTACATAGCTAAGAGTTGAGAGGATAAATTTAATTAAGGTTGATCGAATGTAGAGAGTAGTTTATTTTAGGAAGATATCTCATACTTTGCTAAGAAAAATAAGCTTTCAGTCTTTTATCCTTTCTTAACCAACATTACGACACAAAGAAATAAATTTAATTATCCACCGTAATGTTAATAGTACTGAGCAACATAAATTATCACAAAAGTTAAGTACATTGAAATACATTCTTAAAAAGTTTGATAATTGACATAGCATTTATATATATATATATATATATATAACAGCATCGTACTACGAAACTTGACAGTTCCAGCTTATTCATCAAAATGTAATGAATATTTCAAATAATTGTGAATATTATTTCGTAAATGTAATTTAACACAACAATTTCTGCCACGTGTTGTAAGGCGGAAAATATTGGCTTATGGACAATTTACGACTTGTTGTATCGAATAGATTTAGTACGACAAGCCAGACAGTACCATCCCAGCTTTAAATATAATAAACATTGACAATTTAAATTAATAAAATAAGTACAGACGCTGCTTTAGCTATATAATGCAAGTGTTTGCTATTCGACAATGAAACGTGTGATATCATTGAAGTATCAGTGAACATCAGCGAAACTGCCCAAGCGCGGAAATTGAAAGAATTTAAAAATCAGCACAATTAACGAGTAACAAGCTACAAAAAGTAGCTGCCCAAAAGTAAAAACAATACGATAGGGCATTATCGCCCTTATGACAAAGCGCAGACCGATAAAGAAGCGAGTATCGGCGACTCTCGCGTTCAGCCATTAAACCGAAACCCGCGATAAAAAGAGACTCGTTACACCGCGACATTGGCCCTATTAAAATGCCATCGATCGCGAGCTTTTCTCCCAGACAGAGAAAATAAGCCCGGCACTTCCTGTCATGGCTCGTTATCGGCCGACCTCTCCGGATCCTTATCGCGCATCCTTGGCAGGCCTGACGAGGAGCCGCGCCACCAGTTCATCACCGGACTTGGCAATGTCGAGTCGTCTTATCCTCCTCGTGACGGTACTCGCAGTTGCGGCCGAATGCAGCCACCGGCGACAGAAGCGCATCGTTGGCGGCACCGAGGCACCGGTCCCGCCCGTTGACGACCCCGTCGTCTTCGTCACGAAGCAGGAACGCGAGGCGCGCGTGTACGGACTGCGCGATCACCTTACCGGCTACTACATGTTCCGCGGTATCAGATTCGCCGAGCCGCCGGTTGGCATTAGACGATTTCAAGTAAGGATTTACCTTGTTGTCACGTTCGATGACTTTTCGCCTTTACGCTCGACGAGTGAATATTGATTAGTGATATAATTGCAGTCGCTAGGAAATGATTTGCGAGGATCAAGGGGTCAGGGCAGCACTGTCCCGTGATATTTTCAAGTAGATTTTCATGACTTTAAATGGATCTCTCACTCTCTCTCTCTCTCTCTCTCTCTCTCTCTCTCTCTCTCTCTCTCTATGCGATTAATTAATTTAGTGACTATCGATAAAATAATGCTTTTAATTTAGGAGTATCGTTACTCTTTAAATATAACAATACGCTCCACGTTCATTTAAATTAATATTTAATCTGCAGAAATATTAATTTACAGTAGTAAAAATTCAATATAAAATATTTAATATAAAATAATACTAAATTATTTATATTACTTAAAGCCCCCTAACCCCTAAGATTAACCAAAGACAAATCAACTTTCATTCTTTTATTAAATTACATTTATATGCGTTAGTAATTAAATATGCTATTTAACTATGAATATTTAATTTAGATAGAAGATATTGATTCTTTATAAATAAATGTAAAAACTTGACCTATCCATTATGATGAAAGACAAAAGAAAAATGCTTTCAATTTATTATTGATATTTATGTATTACGTAGAAATTATAAGACATTTAATTAATTTATAATAGGACATATTCCAACTTTCTTTTCTCTCCGTGCAACATCCTGAATTTAGTTTCAAATAACCAATTAGTGATAATAATATAATATATGATATTGTCGGAAGGCCATTATTTTAGCTTCACTGTTTAATCAAAATTATAACTTATCTGTTTTAGCATCCGGTTTCATTATTATTCATATTAACTTAAAATATCTTAACTGTATTATATATCATAACAAATCGTAATATAAAAAATATTAATTATTCTTGATTATTATATTGTCTTAATAAATAATCGATTCAAGGAATCGTTTATAAGCAATGGCTAAATTAATTGGAAGATTAAAAGACAAAATAAAAATAATAAAATATTATTTCTCACAGCTCACGCAAATTATATTTAGCCTTTGTTTCAAATTAACATAACTGTCAATAAACATTTATTTATTGAATTGAACTTGTATTGTAACCGGTAATCAAATTCGTAATATTTTAAGACAACGACGCATTATACAAATGAATGCTCTAAAGTAATAATAAGTAATATTCACGCACATAACTACATGAGAATCCAGTTTATTTTCGATATGCATGCGTATCCAATTACGTAAATCGTATAAAATATTCATTCCACTCTATAAAGTCTGGAACTTCACCTTCTCTAAAATTACATTTTGGCCTTCCTGCTTCTCAAGTTATACGATTGATCTTTAAAGCAAAAATGTTTTACGCGCCCACGCACATACACGTAGCATGCACATTCACGTACAAGCAGAACGAGAGAGAGAGAGAGAGAGAGTCATATAGACATACGCATAAACACGCGAGTAAAAAGAAATAGTTACATAAATTAATTCTTATATAAAATTAATAGATTGAATAAAAAGATTAATATAAATATTTTTCAAAATAATATTTGGCCTAATATTTAGCCTCTTTCTTAAAATTCAACTATATTATTTACAAATACAATCTTCTTTACCCTTTAATTACATAAAGTGATAACCAAAAAAAAAAAATTAAAAAAAAAATATTGACTAGTTCATCGACTTTTGGCACTATAAAAGAATTTAATTTAAACGAGATTAATTAAGCGATCAAGTATACGTATTATGATCTTATGAAATCATCTTATGAAATCATTGTCAAATCAAGGCGAGTTCAATTACAAAATCAATTTGCAAAAAGTACGACTTGTCCACTTGCCGACTTGTCCAATTGCTCTTTAACGAAATTCATAATCAATGCAACCAATTGGCTGCAAAGTAAAATGATAGAATGCGTGTTCAGCGACCAGTGCCAATGTTCCTGGACGGGGACGTGAATGCCACTGACTGGGGAGCTCCGTGCCTACAACCGGACGTGAACGGGGCGCTAGTCGGTAGCGAGGACTGCCTCTTCCTCAACGTCTTCACACCAGCCCTGCCCGATGCCACCGACGGCTATCCCGTCTTTATCTGGATCCATGGCGGGGGCTTCCGGAGAGGGGCAGCCACCCAATACGAGATGCGTAACCTCGTCAATAAGAACACCATCGTAGTTTCCATCCAGTACAGATTAGGATCATTGGGTACTTTTTACATCATTGAAGACTTTACTGGCACCTTGTCTGATACCTTCGCTGTAAATCCTCGGGATGCAACTTTATACAGCGAATTTTACAGAAATTATACGCGAGCTTGCGCCCAGTACAGTGTAACGCTATGACTTCAATAACAATTAATAATTAATTACTGAAATTCGAATTATATATGTTTTCGTTAGGCTCGCATTGTGTAAGTTAAAATGACCAATTAAAATTTATTCATGAAAATTAATCGATGAAAATTTAAAAGTTACTCGATAAGGCCGATAATTGACAACAATAACTTCGATTAAAATTATATTTATTCAGCAAAGCATTGGTACCATCTTCCTATACTATTTTTGAAAAGCTCAAGGTATTTCTTACCAATAGAAGCGCTTTATAATACTGAGCTGTGTAAACGCAAGAATATTAACTTTACTCATAACATTTAAGTTTATAAAGGCCTCTTCTTACGTGGATGATGCATAAAATAATTGCATCGACTGCTGGATTAACAATTCGACCAAAATTTTTAACAATTTAATAATGAAAGCCAATTGTTATGTTGATGCAGGATTTTTATGCACCAATAGCAAAGATCTTTCGGGAAACAATGGATTGTTCGACATGATTTTAGCGACCGAATGGGTTAGGGATTACATTGAATTCTTTGGTGGAAACAACAAGAATATTATAGCCTTCGGCCAAGGAAGCGGCGCGAGCGCAGCTTATTTCCTGGGCATGTCTAAATTTGGAAGGGGTAAAGGGAATGTTCATTAGTACTTTATTGCCTTTGACAGGTGCTCCAATCTCACTCGCGTCTTATTGTTTACTCAGGTTACTATAACGGCATCGTTGCCATGTCTGGCACACCTGTTTCTCGTTCCGCTGTGGACAGACAACCGAGGGTCGCCTCCCGGTCAATGGCCACCAGCACCAATTGCCCGGATAACGATACCTTGGAGATGGTTCGTTGCCTTCGCGAATTGCCCGCGTCGCAACTCATCGAGCAAGATTCAAAGCAGGAAACGTCCGCCAAGGAGACGAATAACTTCGTTGACGACTTGTCGATCCTTTTGAACCCCGGTCCGGTTGTCGAAGGAAAGAACGACTTAAGGTATTAGTATTACGCACACGCTCTGCTTTCACTCCCATTGACGTTAAGATTCTCATTCAAAATGCAATCGCAAAATCTATAATTTTTTTACGTCTTTGTACAAGTTTACTTACTATCACAATTGATCTAGATCACTGCCAAACTTTGTGACCCAAGAGCCAGAAGACTCATTGGCCGAAGACAATATTCCGGATATACCGCTGTTGACGGGTGTCGTTAAGGACGAGACCGGCGGCGCGGTTCATGGCCCTTTCAAAAACAAGATAACGCAGATGTTAAAGAGTGTGCCAGATTTTCTCACGAAAATCTTGGTGCCGAGTCTCCAAAAAGTCGTGCCCGTTATCGGCAACGTCACCCAACAATTTGTACCCGCGGCTTTCACCAAATATCTAAATCCCATTCAAAGCGACAACAATAATGCGAAGATAATCAATGCCGTAGAAAAAGTTTCGCAAGCTCTCAACGATGCCATATTCAACGTACCAGCGTTTCTAACCGTTCGAAATTGGTCGAAGAAGAGAAAAGCTTTCCTTTACAGCTTCGATCACGATAGCAAGAAAGGCTTCGGCAAAGACTTTCTCGATGGCTTACCCATTATTGGAAACTCTGCTCAAACTGGTTAGCCTGCGTTACATCTGCATTATTTATTTTAATTAACCACTCGTTTAGCCATTTAGTGCATGAATTTTAATTGATACAATTGGCTACATATTGTAATTTCCCTACTTTCTCTTAGGCTTAACAAAATTAATTTGATTAAAAAAACAAAACAGATTCATTAGACTTAGAAAAATGGTTAATAATTTGTTTTTATAATTATAATTATTCGGGGAAAAAATTTTTATTTTAAATGATATATATATATATAATTTATATATTATATATAATATATAAATAATATATAAATAATATATAATGATATATATATAAATTTTATATATTTATATATATATATATATATATATAAATATATAAATATTAACCACGAATGTAATTAAATTTTTTTCAATATAAAAATAATGACTTTAATCATTGTTAAAGGGTAACAAAAATCAATCCTACAGGTAAAACTAGTCATGGAGATGATTTAGGATATATTTTTGAGCCTAACAATATATTTGGAAAGCCATTGCCAAAAAATGACAATTTTAATGAAGAAGATGAACGAGTAAAAGAGATTTTTACCGATCTTATCGTCAATTTTGCGAAAACTGGTAATGTAAGTGTTAATGCAAAATCAAAGGATGGAAATTTCTTACCACTATCTTTGCCATCTTTTTTTGGAGACGGGGACGACAATACTTTCCTTAGCATTAAGGCAAATCCAAAGATTTCCAAACAATTTAAGTAAATAATTCTTATTTTTCGCTTAATTTAAATTCGATTCCTTTAATACTCAATAAACAATCAACTTTCTTCCATTAGATTTTGCGAAATGGGGTTGTGGACTGGAATCAATGAAAGATTCACATCAGCAGTATGCAGTTTATTTCACGTAGATTTAAAAAATCCCCTAAAAACCGTTCATAAAACATTGATGTCTATATCGAAGGAACCGATTATTCCAAAAGTTGGAAAGGTTGTTGATTTATTAGATATGGATGGAATTCCTAATAAAGTAATTCCTACTCCTAAAATATTGGATATTCCAAAAACTCTACCCAATCCCCAACCAAATAAAAAAATTGAAAAAGTAATACCAAATTTAAAAAAGACAACGGATGTTATGAAAGTACCATTAGGGATTCCCAAAAATCCTATATCACTCTTCGGTTAAATAGTATTTATTTACTATTTTAATATTATTTTCTATTTATTAGTACGCCTATTTTTACCTTCATTCTACAAATAATTATAGATCAAAAATTACAAATGAAATGTATATATGTTTGTGTTTATCGAAATATAAGCTTAATGTTTTGTAGCGCAATTTGTAATATACAATTATAATATTGCATTTGATATCATTGACATGTAAATAATTCAATATTAATAGACATTTTTTATGCCCATGTAATTGAATTAAATAATTTACAAACGATTAAATCGCAAATATTCAAGTATTGAAAGTCTAAAATAATACAATGCATTTACCAGATGATTATAAAAAGAATTTATTAAATAATTTTTGCAGACCATACATAAGTATTAAATAAATGCTTAATCACTAGAATATTGTTTATTTGGTTGGGAACTAAAATTACGTCACATATTTAATTAGTTACAAATGCAATCGTATTTGACAAGAATTTTTAATGTTATTACGAGGAATATAATGGCAGTCGATAAACCAGGCTGCATATTTTGATATCACAATTTTACGTTAAATGTTGCGGGGGGGGGCGTGTGTGTAGATGCGCATGTGTGATATGTGATAATGTATAAGTCAGAAAAGTAGAACATAATACCCTTTAAGGATGTCAGATGGCGCGATTGTACTGGATTAAACAACATGAACGATACTGGCAAGTGAAAATGATCGGTGATAGGTAATGATTTAACCTTAATTATTACTCATCAAGAATTTGCAATTTCTCACTGTGCAAGATGATGTATTCACCTTGTCGTGGTATTTTTATAATTATACGTAGGTGTATTGCACGCTAGTGAATGGCTTTTATTATACGCAAATCGATAATATTGCTATCGACTGATTTTTTTGTTGCCGTTTTCTTCAGCATCGGTGGGCATAATTTCTTTCTTCACTACTGCACTTTTTCTTTTACTGTACGTTTAATGCCGTCTTCGTTTATAAATTTACGCACAGACACAATATATTTCTCAAAACTCCATTCGTTAAACCTAAATTTTATTTGCCTGCGCTATTGTAATTCTTTCACGTATGCGACATCGACGCAATTAGATATTTAATTAATTACGGTCACGATTGCGCTACATCTCCGAGTAGAAAAAATAAAATTTCGACGAATAAGTGAAATAATTTTTCAAAATATAATTGCTGATGCGCTGGCAATACGTACAGTCGATTATAGGATTCATTCGAAATTTCATCTAATAAATGATCTGCAATTAGTTAATAACGTAACTATGGATCGATATCGATTACTGCTTACAAAATATTCTATTTATATCGTAATTGCCTTTAATGCTTAGAAATATTTTTGAATTTACCATTTAATGCTTAAGAAAATGAGAAATGGAATTTGCGATAAGGATTAGAAAATAATACCGACAGATGTATGCAGTATAAGTTTTATTAACTATAAAGGCCTACAGGTCGATCATGTCACAAATATTTAATTTAGTATATTGTGCGAAACATTAAAATCTTTAAACATCAATTTATATTTTCGATTAATAATTTAATGGACACATAAAATCCAAGGTTTAATATTATTGTTAAGTCGTTAATACAAAATCGAGTAAAATTATAGACATGAATAATATGAAGTAATAATGAGCTAGCTAATAGAGACATTGCAATTGTTGCTACATATTAATAAAACTGAAAAAAAGTAAAATTTTACGTAAAAGTAATATAAAGATTTTGCATATATGTTAAATAATTGCTTATGAATTTCTGCGAAGCTCAGTCATTTATTGGTAATGTGTGCGCTTGGAAATGACGCTCAATTATCCCATTATCTCTTCGATTGGACAGCCTATATCTACAGGAGGCACTACGCACACATCTTCGTGAATAAATACTCTGGCAGACTATATGATCAATCTGCAGCGATTTTCTACAATTTATTCTCGTGAAAATTTAGATTTTTTCCATTTCTTGCAGCGGGATGACTTAAATTATCTCATAAAATTAAAATACTGCTGTTTCTACGTGTACTGATTAAACAAACAAACAAAAAATCAAATCTTTAAATCTCCGTTATTAATACGTGATTTGATAAAATAGATATTGCACACTTTTCAAAAGAACATACAGACATATTTGTCTTGATCGATGATTAGTGCAATTCATCAAATTTCAACTTTGAAACAGTACTAATTTACAGTTTTCAAGATAAGATTAGTGACCAGTAGATTTAACTTCTCGACTCATCAGTATCTTTAATCACTGTTTATTTAAAGTTAATTGACAAGCAATCACTTATAAATTTATAAATAAATAATTATAAATTATATACAATTTCAAAAATAAAATAGCCACATTATAAAAAGGTTGCGTAAAAGTGAAAAAAGAACATTACCTATATAAGAGCTTCAAGAGTTTTTTTAAACCATAAATGAATGTAGATATTGTATTCGTATAAGGTATTAACTGATAAAATGTGCATTAATGAGGCGTTAACATTTAGGAGACAAAGGTTTATAAATAATTGCGGATAAAAATCATTGCCTTGGTAAAGATGTGTGTTACGGTATGCGCTAATCGTCAATTGATGATTCAAAGTTGTCAGAGAAGAATAAATATCGCAGAAATTATGCTGTAGAAACGGATCTGCTTATTTTCATTAAGTTTATTCTTATTTTCATTAAAATAATAATTAAACATGATTCGCAATCTTTTTCTTCATTTCTCCAAAGATGATAAATTAATAGGGTTCAATTTAAATTGCATTTTAAGCAAATTAAAATTACAGGTTGTCATTATTCCAGAGTAAGTATGTATCATTTTGTAAATTTACATTGCACATTTTACAATTGTGAAACATAAAAATATGTTTGCATTATTTAACAGAGTAAGCCGGTAGGATCATCGATTCGAAATGTTTTGAAAATAGTAAAATCTTTACATCTTTCTCCTTCTCCCTTCCCCCTCCATTATTCTATCTCTGTCTCTAATCGGCTCTCTCATCCGTAGCCGCGAAATTCCATGCAAGATTGACCTTGTGCAAGTGCACACGCAAAGAATAGAGAAAAAACGAAAAACAATAGAGCCGGAGTTTATGTATGCGGCACATCTTATGTATTCGTGCAGATAGCCGTTCATATTATGGTCATGTGCATATATAGTTACATATACATATACATATATATATATATATATATATATATATATATATATCTATGCATACTATCGAGTCCTCGCTCGAGTGCCTCGAGTAAGTACACGTACGAGTGGTCAAGTACCTGTGTGCAATGAGATAGAAAAATTTATTACCACATTGGAAAATAGAAATTCGCCAGGCTGTATAATATCCTTGATAGAAGGTGAAAAACCTCTAATTTCATGAAAAACAGGCATATTTCCAGATTTTTAATGAATAGGAACATTGCGACGGTAGAATGCCGTGATATTATATCGGAGAATATCGTGCGCAATCGCAAGAATTAGGTAGGATGTTATGTTTCAAAATAGAATAGATAATTTCAATTTATATTGGACTTTAATTATCCTTATTTTTTTTTTTTTGCTTTTCTTTTTGGCTTTAGCAAAATTAAAAACTTTGGATTTTATTAATACATAAAAATTATACGAAAGAAAGGAATGTTGTAAAAATGTGATATGTAAATTAGAAACGAAGTTAAAGAGGACGACGAAGTATAAGCAATGAAGTTAATCTTGCAGACTTTTAGTACTAGCAGTATCCTGTTAAATAAATGCAAGATACTCTACTTACTTATTCTATGTGTATCAATAAGGAATGATACATATAACGATTTTTTCTGTAAAACTCAAATTTATATAATGAAAATGAGTATTATTTTTAATGAATTTTTTTCTCATTTTATATAATGTGATCGTTTGTTGAATAAAACACATCTTCTGTTCGATCTTCATCGACACATCTACTGTTGGAAGTAACATATTGATGTAAATATATAGAAATATTTTGTAAATATTTATTATCACTTTCTTCTTTTTTTAAGTAAAGTTTCACGAATTCTTATTTTGTTTTTATTTGCCCGATTTTGTCTAACATATCTAAGAAAATTATCCTTTTAACAATATTAATATACGTTTACATTTTAATTATGAATATTCGTGAATAATCCTATAAAAAGTGTCAAATATCTCATGTTGGACGACACTAACCCCTACATCTGTCGATCTTTTTTTTCTCTCTCTCTCTCTCTCTCTCTCTTGTTTAAATATCAAGCGTCGTATAAACTTAGCATTAATACATTCCTCTCTCAAAATGTCACACAATAAATCTATATAAGTCTGCATAATAAATCTATATATCCGAATTTCAATTTAAAAAATATTCTTAACTATCGATCACTTTTTCAAATATTACGATAAAATATTGATCAAAATTAATCGTAAAATACTAATAACTTCTGCGAAACGGACCATAGATGGAAAGATACACGAATGTTGATCCGAAGTATAGCTTTCAAATTATTACAAATAGGCTGGTTTGCTCCATTTAGTGTACATTATAAGAAATTCGAGTTTTTAAACTGAAATGTAAGTGGTTATTTAAATCTTGTCTAAGGTAATTATGGAAACTTGAAACCAAATTGATTTATCGAATTTGCATAAGATTATCCATAATTTCCCAGCTTCGTAATATTTCCTACACGAGGAAATAATAACATTATCTTCCTCTACTAATTTACAGTTTCTTAAATATACTAAAAACATAAGCCATTTAAATACAATTCGCAAATGCAAAGTTCATGGTAAATAATAAACAAAGAAAATTTTTCAGGCTAAATATGTCGAACCTATTTTAATGTATTCTTATGTTTGGGGAAGCTCTATGGCTCGACAACGCAACAATAGTATGTAAATTTTACACTTAAAATCCATGTAACATAAATTTGCAATATTGATTGATAAATAAAATATATTTTATAGGCCGTAAAATATAAATACTAGTATAAAAATAATCCAAAAGGCACTTTTAAAAATTGTTCGCAGACGTCTGGTTAAGTGTCTTCAGAGCACATCTCAAGAGAGGC